AATTAGGGAACTCATTCTGTAGACAGGATATTTTGCTACTCTCCCGGAGGCAGAGAGAGGAGGGGGGATAAGGACCCAAGGAAACTGACGTAGGATCCCATGACTGAGTTGCTTTTTCATTGGGTAGAGTAAAATGTAACTGTCAAAAAAGTGAGGCAGGGTATAGTAATTGCCAGAGCTGAGGTAGAAACAGCATAGGGGAAACAGAAAGATGTTATGAATTTTCACTGGATGAGAGGCAGGCAGGGGTGGGATCATTGAACAGAGTTTACTGGAAGCAGCTATATTAGAACTGAATTGTGACGGATGAATAGGATTTCAAATATATGGAGAAGGCTCTGAATGATCCTTTCAATAACTTCAACTCAAATATTAGATAAAGTAACTTTTTAAATGTTGTTCCTGTATTGCAGAGCCACACAGCCAAGGGTTTCCAGAACTCCAACTGAAATGAAACAAGGAGGCATAGAAGTCTTGAGTTCTGCTTTGCACTGGGTGTAGGATAGTAGGGTGTAGGATAGTACCCCCAGGGGAAGGGTGATTGAAATGCACTTTGCCTCACAGAAGGAAGCAGCAAAGAAACTTGCCTGTCTTCTCACTGGCATGGGTAGGAGAAAATATTCCATTCAAAGAGCCTGGAACCACTATTCAAGTTATCTTCCTTTAGTAAGGAGGAGAGAAGGCTTGGATATAAACCTCTCTGAAACTGACTCCCATTCCCTTCTCCCATGCTACTTGCCCCACCCCTTACTTTATCTCTTCTCATCCTTTATCTTTCCTCCTCTCCTGGAGTCAAGATGGGCTCTATGTAATGGTGAGAGATTCATTTTTCCTGGAAGATACACTTTGTATGCACCTAATCACATAACAGATGCTTACCGATCCATCTACAATACAAGGAAATGAACATCCTCCATTATAGTAGAGATTTCAACATACCTCACTAATTTATTAGATCAAACAAAAAAAAAAATGAGCAAAGATAGTTTTGAATAGCTCAATTTACAAACTCAGTTTAATGAACTTAGGAAGAAGACTGTTTAACATGAATACTTACTCATTTCAAGGGCACATGGAATATTTATGGAATTTGCCATGTACTAGCTCAACAAATTTCAAAAGACTGGTCTCATATAGAGATTTTAGCCGTGAGACACACTGAGACCCCAGAGACCTTAAATCCATACAGTATGGATTTAAGTGGAGTAGGGAGGTATGGTGAGGTGAGTGAGAGGTTAATGGGAGATCAAGCTAGAAAGAGCCAGGGTAGAGCCAGGAACAAGTCACAAGAAGCAGGGAATTATGGAAAGATCCTAAACTTTGAAGAATAGTAGACTAGCAAATGCCTAGCCCCGCAACTTACTAGATGCATGAAGAAAATAAATTGTTTAACTTTTCCTATTCTTGATTTATTAAGTGTTGAGAGTTTTGGATATTTCACAGTTATTACATTTGAGTACATTTATAAAGTTTTCAATATATAGCATATTGGTGTAGAGTGTCTTAGCTTCCACAATGATAAACAGGGACCTTATTTAAGGAAAGTTCTTATAAACACACAAAAGTGTATCCAATAGGTAAGAGACCTATTGACAAATCTGGGCTTTGACAGCCTCTGAGGGGCTCCAAATTGGATTCTCCAATTATGGATAGTCACTTCCTTGTATAATCCCCCTATAATGTGCGAAGGTTGGTTTGTGTGACAAGTAACATCTGGCAGAAGTGGTTTGTCACTTCTAAGATTAGGTCATCAAAGGACTGCAGCTGAAGTTCTGCTCACTCTCTTGCACTCTCTTGGATCACTTGTTCTGGGAGAAGGCAGCTGCCGTATCAGGAAGGCCCAGATGCTGAGGAACTGAAGTCTCCCGCCAACAACATGAAATTGAGGTCTGTCAGCATCCATGTGAATGAGTTTGAAGGTGAATATTTCCCCAGGCAAGCCTTTTTCTAACCAGCAGCTTGACTGCAATCTCCAGAGACTGTGGACCAGAACAATCCAGTTAGACCTCTCCCAGATTCCTGACTATCAGAAACTGGGATAATAAATATTTTTCTAGCCACTATGTTTTAGAATAACTATGTTTCACAGTAATAGATAAGTTCATGGAAAATTAAAATTAGTACAAATGTCATCAGATACCTAAAAGGTCTTAGATTCTTTTTCTAGAGCAGACAAAATAAAGCTCACATAGATTTGGGATTTCATCAAAAAGGGATTGGATCTCAGATTTAGCACTGAATTTTTATCATAATTGCAGACAAGGAAACCCTAAGCAGGGAAGCTTATGGGGCCAAGTCCATGGGCTTGGGCCTTGGCTGTGGTGGTCCTCTGCTGAACTTCCTTGGAGTACCCTGATTGTCAAAACTTATGACAGATTGCATGGGAAGCCATTCAAATTAGCAAGGGAGAGCAATACCTTCATAGTCTCATCTCAAATAGCAGTTAGGGAAAGGCACTTAAGAATATTGGAGGGGAGGGCAGAAGCTAGTCAAAGGGGGCTATATGGCAGAGATAGGTGAGTGGGTCTGGGTAGTAGTTGGTCAGAATTTGTGATTGCTGCTGAAACAGTATCAAATTGTAAGTGTTCCTTATAATTTGAGATACATGAGACCATATTGAGTTCCTATTACTGTAGTTTCTTGGAATATACAGGTCTGAATGAGCTAGTTAAAATAGCTCAAGCACCTGGCCAGTTGCTTAGTGGTTAGAGTGTTGGCCCACAGACTGAAGGGCCATGGATTTGATTATGGTCAAGGGCATGTACTATGGCTGCAGGCTCCTCCCCAGCCCAGGCCCTGGTCAGGGCGCATGCAGAAGGCAACCAATGTTTCTCTCACATTGATGTTTCTCTCTCTCTTCCACTCTCCCTAACAATCAATGGGAAAATATCCCTGGAAGAGGATTAACCAAAAACAAACATACAAACAAAAACAGCTCAAGCTTTGGTAATTAGTGTATAATGAGCTTTAGTACATTTTATAGGTTTTTAGTAATAGTGCAGTTTTTTAAATCGTTTTATTTCCCAATGGAGAACTATCTGACAAGGAGATCTATTAGGACTTTATTGCAAGAGATAATCAAATATTTATTGAGACATATGCTTCCACCCATGCTGGAATAACAAGTATTAGACTTAACACTTCTCTGTAAACAAACTGGAGGAAATGTGGAACTGCGTTCAAGCATGGAACCACAAGACAGCGCAGAACTGGAATTCCTGAGAGGAAGGAAACAAATGAGGTGATTCCCTACAGTTGCCCCAACTTTCTGCATGGAAGTAAATAATTTTCAGACTCTAAAGTCAAGGGAGAATCCAAACAGAGCTAACAAGCTTGCTAAATTGAGATAGAAATAGGAGGTTGAGGCAGCTGTACAATGTTGGGCAGGCATAGGTGGGAGTTGTTCAGAGAAGAGGTCCAAAGATCTGCACAGGACCCCCTGAGTGCTGAGTTCTAAGCCACATATCCTCAGAGTAAAATTCTAGAAAGGCAAAAAATGACAGGGAGTAAAAGCTGAACAATTGCCTTGGCTGCCACTATCTGTTCAGCCATTTCTGGCTCCTCCCCACATCCGCTCCTGCTGGCCTGGCTTCTTGGATCACCATCACCCAAGGACAGAGCGGCCAAGTGTAAAGATTACCCATCTGTTCCTGCTGGCCTCGGGAAACAGTTCCGCATATCCCAACCCTTGCCAGGGCCATCTAACTGGTGTGTTGGGGAAAGAGGTGGGACTCCTGCCTTCTCCAGAGTTAGCTGTCTGCAACTGGGGCCCTGGTCTCATCAGCACCCTGTGAGGGGGTAGGGTTGGGACCCCCATGACCTCAGAGGAGGCAGCCTGAGCCCAGGGCCTCACCAAGCACTGTGAACACAAACCCAAGTGTTGAGGCCCTAAAAAGACTTCACCCAAGAAAAATGTCACTGCTCCTGCAGTCACAAGCCAGACTCCAGCTTAGGAGGGGTTCTGGCCCCCCGCTGCTGTCTGTGTGGTCTCCTCCATCGCAAACACTTGAGCATGGGTTTCTGTGCAAGTTGATGCTTCAAAGGACTCTTAGGCTCCAGATTAGAATTTTGGGCAGAATTCAAGGTCCCAAGATCTGAGTGTGACTGACTTTCCGGCAGCCTTTTACGTGGGGAGAGAACAAAGGATTGAGTTATCACTTGTTCTTCTCAAAACAAACCCATTACCCAGTCAAAGACTTGGCTCACAATCATAATGTCAGGTGTGGGGGGTGGGGGATGAAGAAACATTGAACAGGACAAAGAGAGTTTTTGTACACGCTGGAGATGTAAACATTTGGAAACTCGTTGCACCTGTGCTGAATAAGAAGCTCCCCAAACTCCGAGGGCACATGTGGTTTCAGCTCCTACGTACCCACTTCATCACTCCAGCCCAAACATGCCTTACCAGAAAGCATGGGCTTCCTGGGCCGTTAGGATACATCTCTGGATGTTCAAAACCTCCAAGCGCTGTGAAATCCCAAAAGGAGCCCCTAGTAAGTCTCCTGGGAGCCCACTGCTGCTCTTCCCTCTAGCTACCACATGGTGGCAACAGGGAGCCAGCTCCGCCTCTGTGGGAAGGACTAGACAAGGCTTCCGCTGCCACAGGGGTTCCAGGCAAGATCGTGTTCTTCCTGCGGACTCACCCCAGTGCGAGGTGGCCCAACGCGCAGGGCTTCACTGGGCTAGCTGGTTTTGGGCTTTCAGCTTTGGCCCAGGCAAAGAATACGTTTCTCCCAAGCTGAGACTGTTTCCCCAACCCTACAATTTAGGATCCCCCCACAGGATGCACTCCCCCATGCCCCACTCCCCACGGAGTACCTCAGGCTTGTGTGCTGCTATGAAGGTAAGCCAGGCTCTGTCTCTCTCACTCATAACCACCCGGCATTCTAAGGCCATTTGGCAGCAGTGGAAACCGAGGCTCAGAGACTCAGTGAGATTCCAAGATCAGACAGCCCCACGCCCCAGAGCAAATGTCAAAATGAAGTGGAGGAACTCTAAACTGTCAGAAAGTAACAAAACTCATTTATTTCGATAACATGAGCCCGCCAGATCACCGAAGTCCTATAAAACCTGCCTCCTATTGCACCCTGGACTCTGGGCACACAGAGGCAACCTAGCATCCGGCCAGACTAAGACCAAAGGTGGGGCCAGGGCAGGGCCAGCAACAGGAAAGGTGGCCTTGCTCTGAGACGGGCAGAGTGAAGGCAGCTCACAGCTGGCTCCTGTGCCATGCCCATGGGCAAGGATGGCCCCAGCCTGAGGCCTGCCTGCAGGGGAGGGCTTCTCTCCTTGGCCAAGGCTGTCCTTACCAGAGTAGGTGAAGTGGGGAGGGAATTAGGATGGCCACAGGCTGCCTTGAGCCAGCATTCTGCTCTGTTACACCAAGGACAGGTTCAGGGACAGAGCTGACAAAAAATGGCCTCTTTGCAACTTAAAACTCTATTACCCAATCCTCACCCACCCCAACTAGAGCAGTTAGAGCAAGCAACATCAAGCGACAGGCAGGACAGGGGACAGGCACCTATTTGTACAACAGCTGAGTGGCTGCACCCAAAACCAGCCAGGTGTGACATCGGCCCAATGCAATGATTGTCAAAAACTTCCATTCTCATCCCCATCCCTGGCCTGGGAGCCTCCGCAGTGCACCAGGCACCACGGGCTAGTGCAGCCGCAGGTAGGAGGGGGCGGAGTAGTTGAAGAGCAGGAAGTCCATCTTGTAGAGGTCAAAGAGGCGCCGCTGGTAGAAGGGGCTGATGTCCTGGAAGAGGCGCCTGGCCAGGTCCTGGGAGGCGGCGGAGGCCGCCTTGGCCCGGGGCGGCGGCGCGGGGAAGCGCAGGCCCGGCGCGCCCACCAGGCCCAGCACGAAGGCCGCGTCCTCCGCCAGCGTCTCGAACTTGCCCACCACGTCGTAGCGCAGGCGGCACGGGTGGCAGAGCGCGTGCGCGCGCTCCCAGTGCTCGTTGAAGGGCTCGTCGCGGCGCGTGCGCGGGTCCAGCAGGTAGGCCAGGAACTCGGCGAAGCGCACGTCGTGGCCGCGGGCCAGCGCGTCCGGGTGCGCGCGCGGGCGCAGGCGCCGCACGATGCGCGTGCCGTACAGGCGCTGGAAGGCGGCGCTGTAGGGCCGCGCGAACTTGTTGCGGTAGGCCGAGGCCAGGCGCTCGAAGGGCTCGCGCACGAAGAGGAAGGTCAGGTAGGCGCGCAGGCGCCGGTTGATCTCGGCGGGGCTGAAGTCGGCCAGCGAGGGCAGGCGGCCCGGCGCGTGCGCCTGGTGCGCCGGGATGGCCTGCGGGTCGGCGGCGCCCGGGCCGCGCAGCGCCAGCAGCACGCGCTTCCAGTTGGTGCAGGCCACCTTGGGGACGTAGCAGTAGAGCAGGCCGTGGGCGTCGTCCACCAGCACGTGCCGCAGGTCCTCGGGCTGCAGCAGGCGCTGCCGGCGCGTGTGGCGGCTGCAGGCGCGGCGCAGCAGGTTGCGGCGCTGCCGGTGCACCTCCGCCAGGGCCGAGCTCGAACCCTGTGGAGGACAGGGGTCAGTGTCAGGGCAGCCGCGCTGCCACCCATCACTGTATGATTGGGAGCCTGGGCATTTGCCCTGGACCTGGGTTGGAGAGAAATGAATTTAACCTTGCAGAGGCATGAGCCGGCTGTTGGACACCCAGGACTGAGGAGGTCCTGATAACGAATGTGACAGGATCAGAGTAAGACTGATAAGGAAGTATGGCTTCAGAGTCCTCACCGTGGGAGCAAATTGGATTGCTAGAAGTAGCATAGTGCATAAGAATGGTAGCTTTTTACAGCCCTGTAATATTCCGTGGTGTAGATGTATCATGGCTTTTTTAATCCACCCATCTGCTGGTGGGCACTTGTGCTGTTTTCAAATGTCAGCTGTTGTAAATAAAATAATGCTGCTGTGAACACAGTGGGAGCATATATTCCTTCTGACTGGTGTTTTGGCATTCTTAGGATATATTCCCAGAATATTTGGGATTAAGTAAAAGGCAGTTCCATCTTTAATGTTTTGAGGAGGGGTGACTGGATAAAGAAGGTGAAGGGATTAGCTAAAGAACATAGATGCATACCCCATGGACACAGACAATACTTTGATGAAGGCCAAGGGAGGGGAGGAGAGCATGGGTGGAGGTGGGCAAAGGGGGGGAGGGGGACACCTGTAATAATGTCAACATTGACATTTTTTAAAGTATATTTTTACTGATTTTTCACAGAGAGGAAGAGAGAGAGATAGAGAATTAAAAACATCGATGACAGAGAAACATCGATTAGCTGCCTCCAGCACACCCCCTACTGGGGATGTGCCCGCAACCAAGGTAACATGCCCTTGACCAGAATCGAACCTGGGACTTCAGTCCACAGGCTGACGCTCTATCCACTGAGCCAAACCAGTTTTGGCCATTAACATTTTTAGTAAGAAAAATAACAAAAAACTCATGATGATATGGAAAAAAGAAAAGAACGATAGCTTGAGTCTGTACCCCTCTGTCAACCCACCAGCCCCTCCCAGACTGAGGACCCTGGGGCTACAGGCAGTATCTTCAGGACTAGTGACAGGCTGAGGCCCGGGCTCAGAGGGTCCTTGGAGCTGCAGGGGAGCATTGAGGGTGCTGGGTGCTGAATGGGGTCTCCCCATTCAATGGATGAGAGATGCTGCCATGGAGGGAGGGTGGCATCAGGATCTCGTACCAGGCAGCACCCAGTTGGAGCTACTTCTCACAGAGCAAATGCAGAAGTCAGCCAGTTTGCAGACTCCGAATCTATTTCTTTTTTATTTAAAACCATGTCTGCCAGGGGAGGCAGGCAGCAGACGCCAGACACAGGAAAAATAATGGTATTTCGCATTCTAAGCCACAGCCAGCGAGGGGAGGGAGGCAGGGCCTTCTCCACACAAGGCCCTGGCCCAATGCAGCGGACTCCGCTGAGGTTACCAGCTGGGAGGGACCTCAGGACAAAGCAGCCGCCCAGAGGCACAGCCTTCTAGGGACTGCATAGGCCCCTGTGGACCTCTTGCATGGACCCTGGACAGGCCACAGCTCTCCTGTCTCCTTTTCAGTCCCAACTGTTACAGTCCCAGCAAGAAAGAGATGGCTTTTTCTGGAAGGAGTTTTTCAAAGGGACGGTTGACAGGTGTGAGAGCAGGGGCAGACAGCCAACTGGGAAGGTGGCATCCCAGAAACAGAGACCATTCAAGGTCTCAAGGGGGTGGGGCCATGTGAACACTGAGCACAAGCACAGGAACAACGGGAGTCACGTGATCAAGTGAGAGCGTGCATGTAAATAAGGGGGCGGGGCCATATAATCAAGTGGAAGTACTGGTGTGAAAAAGGGGTGGGGCCACCTGATCATGGGAGAATGGGTGTGTCAACAAAGGGGTGGGGTTCCCTGAACCAGAGGGAGAAGTGCAGTGAGGATGGAGGATGGGCTGTGTGAATGGAAGGTATGGGGCCAGGAGTCCTCGGAAGCTGAAGAGGCAGGAAGGACCCTCTCCTTTGAGGGAGCAGAGCCCCAGACACCCTGACTACAGATTCTGGCCCCAGAACAGGGAGAGCACATTTTCCTATTTGTTTAGCCCGGGGGTTGGCAAACTCATTAGTCAACGGAGCCAAATATCAACAGTACAATGATTGAAATTTCTTTTGAGAGCCAATTTTTTTAAACTTAAAATTTTTCTAATGCCACTTCTTCAAAACAGACTCGCCCAGGCCGTGGTATTTTGTAGAAGAGCCACACTCAAGCGGCCAAAGAGCCGCATGTGGCTCGTGAGCCCCAGTTTGCCGACCACGGGTTTAGGCCAATCTGTAGTTATCGGAGCAGCAGCCTCAGGAAATAGATCCCTCCTTGCCCCTCCGTTTGGGGCTTTGACTGGGTTCTGAGAACAGCTGAGCCCTGTGCCCCAGCAGGGGAGACCCCCTAGGCCTCTCACTGCAGGGCTCACAGGGAGATTCATTCCTGAGTCTGTGCCTTGGCCCTGTGTCCTGGGAGCTCCTCAGCAGTGACAGTGCAGTGGGCACCAGGACAGGCTGCTTGGTGGGAAGCGCAGGCTACGGGCTCAGGGACTCCACGCCGCCTTGCTGAGCCCCCAGCTGCAGGGTGATGCAGGGTACTCCCCAGCCCCGCCCTTACCTCCCAGGTCTTTCCCCTAATGAGTCCAACCTGGGCCTCTGCTTCCTGGAGCATCTGCGTTGACAGGAGCCAGCAACTGGGTTGTTGTACCCACATTCTAGATGCCAAACCTGAGGCTCAGAGAGGGGGGGCAGAGGCCCCTACCCGCAGCCAATCTCCCCCTCAACTCAGCCCAGCTTACAGGTGGCTGCCCCAGCTGTCTCCTGGTAGCCCTGGTGTGGGAGGAAGAGGAGGAGGATGAGGGAGAGGCAGGGGAGGAGGGGGAGAATTCTGAGAAGCAATCAAAACTATACACCAGCTGGCTCCTCCTTCTTCAATCCCTCTCTCCAGCTTCAAAACCTCCTTCTGTGCAGGTAGGCAGGGGCCTCTTCCTGGCCAGGCAGCTGGGAGCAAAGGAGGTCAAGGAGGCAGAGGGTCCAGATAGTGAGTTCTGTGACCCCAGAACAGAACCCCAGATAGTGACCCCACCCTCATCTAGATAGTGACCTCACTTTCACCCAGCAAATTTCCTGGGCCTGGGCTCCATGGACCTCCCAAAGTTCCCAGGCCAGGAAGGCTGCTTGCTGCCCCGCCCCCTGCCTTCGCACATGCAGTTCCCTCCACCTCGAATGCCCCTCCTCGTCCTTCAAATTCCAGCTCGGCTTTAGCTTCACTGGAGAACCTTTGCTGAGTCACTTGGGGTTCCCCCAGCACCCTGCACCCGCCCCAGTCACAGCCGTTTTCTGGATGATGCTCTCACGGGATTAGCATCTTGGGAATACTAGCTTTGCCTTTGTACCCCAGCCCTTGGCACACACAGGTGCTCAGTAAATCCGGAAGGAAGGGAAGGAGGGAGGGAGGAAAGAGCAAAGAAACCCCTCTCACAGGATTGGAGAGGATCTAGACCGTGAGCACCGGGCACAGGGCTGGGCACCGAGCCACGCCCACTCTCTTCCTGTCACCTCCACTCGAGCCTGGGCTCCAGCACCTTCTGCTGCATCTGATTTGGAGCCAGCTCAGGAGTCTTCTCCATGCGGCAGGCCTGTGTCTATTGCCCATTTGGATGCAAGGTAATTACACCGGGATGCTGACATGCACTTGACTTTATAAGGAGCTAGTGTGTTTGGGAGAAAGGCCTTCATTCCCGGAAACCTGGACTGTGCAAACTTGCAAGGGCCTGAGGGCTGACCTTGAGCAGGGGTTTTCAAACGGTTTTCACACTGAATACTTTCTGCAGACAAAGCCTTACCTGAGGCCACTATGTAAAACAGATGGGAACTAAGCTGCTTGGGGAGATGGGACCAGAGTCCCCTTTCCCCTGTGCTCTGGGCCCTGGGGAGGTGGGAGTTGGGGTCCGTCCTGCCAGTGGGATGGGCAGCCAGGAGAGAGGGAGAGCCCTGGGCAGAGTTGGTGACTGACATTTACTAACTGGTACAGAGGGCTTCAGTATTTTCAGAACTGTGTGTTCTTGCCTGGATGTGGCAGGATGAAAGATGAACTAACTCATCTTTCACAGCAAGAAGTCAGTCTATACAAACAAAAATGAAAATATGTGTTTGGAAAAAATCCTAATGACTTCAACTTTTATTTTAAAAATATATTTTATTGATTTTTTTTTTACACAGAGGCAGGGAGAGGGAGAGAGCGAGAGCCAGAAACATCAATGAGAGAGAAACATCATTGAGCTGCCTCCTGCACAACCCCCACTGGGGATGTGCCCGCAACCAAGGTACATGCTCTTGACCAGAATCAAACCCGGGACCCTTGAGTCCACAGGCTGATGCTCTATCCACCGAGCCAGACGGGTCAGGGCATGACTTCAACTTTTAATGTTCTCACATTTAATTTTTTTTTAATCTTGAAGGGATATTTTAGGGGAAGTATCTCTTGTCTAGAGGAAATATTTATATGAATTCAGCACTTCCATCAACTTCTCTTTCTTTTTGCTTTTGTGAAATTCAAATAAAATAAAATTTAAAATTGCAAAAAAAAAGAAAGAATGGTAGCTTTAATTTATAAACAGGATTGAAAAATGCAGCCACTTGCAGGCTATTAGGATCTTTTCTGTTTAATAATAAAATTAGCTAATTCTATATTTCTGAATTGGCATGTTCCTTTGGGTCTTGGTTTCTTCATCCCTAGCAGTCCTCTCCCAACCCCCAACAAATTCTAATCTCAGTACTTGGGCAGGAAGCTGGCCCTCTCTCAGCCTGTTCCTCCTCTGTAAAACAGTGTTGTGTGCCAGGCACCTTGCTATGCCCTTTACAACTCTATGAATTGGGTAATATTAGGAAAACACTTGAGCCCAGCCCTTCCTCGCCCTCCTCAGCTGTACTTCCAGCAACCACCCTCGCTTTCTCCAAGCCCTTCTGGGTCTTCACCTCCAAGACTAACCCTCCAGCCCTCCTACCTCCTTCTTTGGTGTTTTGTTTTGTTGTCTAAAATTTCTTAAAGATTTTAATTTCTAAACATTGTATTAAAAGCCTTGCGGCAATCTATACTAATAATAGAGGAATATGCAAATTGTCCAGGATGCGTCACAGTAATAATAACAACTGAACAGTGTGGGGTGACAAGGCCAACAGGGGGGTTAGAGAGGGACTACCAAACAACTGAACAGCAGGCTGTGTGGGGTGACCAGATCAGCAGGGGAGACAGTTAGGGGCGATCAGGCAGGCAGGCAGGTGAGCAGTTAGGAGCCAACAGTCCCAAATTGTGAAAGGGTACAGGCTGGGCTGAGAGGACCCCCCCACTCCATGCATGAATTTCATGCACCAAACCCCTAGTAATACAATAAGTATTAGTGACAATTCGGGAAAGTGAACCCTTCATTCATTACTGATGAGAATGTAAATGGTACAGATGTTGTGGAAAGTAGTTTGACAGTTCCTCAGAAAACAAACATCTGATCCAGAAATTCCATTTCTAGGTCTATATTAAGGTAACAAAAACAAAAGTTATACAAAAACTTGTACACAAATGCTTACAACTACATTATTTATAATAGTCAGAGAGTAGAAACAACCCAAATATACCTCAACTGGAAAATAGGTAATTAGTATGTATGTGGTCTGTCCATTCAATGGGATTTATCCTTTCTAATAAAGAGGGAATATGCTAATTGACACCCACACCATCGCAAAGATGGTGGCACCCACAGCCAATAAGGAGGGAATATGCTAACTGACTGCCATGCCCTCAAAGATGGTGGTGCCCGTAGCCACAAGATGGCATCACCCAGTCCCCTCAGCCCCAACAGGGCAACAGGTGTGCGACAAGGCTGGGCCAGTCGTGGGCCGGGCCGGGCCTTGCTATGTGATGGCCTCCAGAGTCTCCCAGCTGCCCAGAGCCGGCCTGAGGCACAGGCAAAAATATTTGTTATGGGCCGCATGTGGCCTGTGGGCAGTGAGTTTGACATGCTTGCTATAGGTTTACATTGGGGCTCTTGGGTTCCCATGTCTGGAGGCAGAGGGAGGGGTCCCAGAATGGGGGTCTGTCCACTTACCTGGTCCAGGTCATAGAGCATCTGCAGGGGACTCCTCTTCTTCCCACCGAGCCAGCCAGAGCCCAGGGCCTTGTTTCCAGATTCTGTGGAGCATAAAGAAAGAGGTGTCACCACTGCATCAGAAGAAATGGCTTTGATGCTGTGGGGCGTGGTCAACTCACCTAGGGCACAGCTAACCCATCTCTGAGACTCAGTTCCCTCCTGTCCCACCTGCATTGGGATGGGGAGGGAGGTTGGTGAAATGTGGGGAAGCACTGACAGGGCCCCTAATCCATCAGGCAGGTTGCTTGGTGTCACTCCTATTCCTATGCCCTACCCCAGCGTTTTTCAACCGCTGTTCCGTGGCACACTAGTGTGCCGTGAGATGTTGCCTGGTGTGCCGTAGGTGCAGACAAGACAAGAATTTTATAATTTTTCACTATTTTGTTTACTTAATATTTCATAATAAAGTAATTATAAAATACTTTCTTTGTGTTTATTTGATTCCTATTCAAGAGAATTACTTTATATATAGTCAATATAGGCACAGAGTTAAATTTTTTAACATTTTCTAATGGTGGTGTGCCTCGTGATTTTTTTCATGAAACAAGTGTGCCTTTGCCCAAAAAAGGTTGAAAAACACTGCCCTACCCTCTAGAATTAGAGGATGCCAGACAGGGAGAGAGGAGAGGAAAGGTACTCAGCCCATAGCTTTCTGGGAAAGGCCTGACCACTCAACCTCACCCACCTGAGTCTGCCCTCATCTCATGCCCTGCCCTAGCCAGCCCCATGACTGAGGAGCGCTACCTGTCTGTCCAGGGAGGGATGGGCAGTAGTGGTGTGGCACAGCCAGACTGCAGGCTCCCTACTGATCCACTGTGAATTCCTCCAGCAGCCTGTCATCCCCCGAGCAGTGTGCATGCTTCTTCATGGTAAATACAGCTTTAGCTGTCTCCCAGAATGGATGCCCCTGAGGACAGATACTGTCTGTCTGTCTCAGTGCCAAATTTTTCAATCATCCTAAAACTACCATAAACTCAGCTTGCTAAGTTTATTCTTCACTCAAAATGTGCCTGAAGGACTATCTTCTTAAATATATTCAATTAATATGGATATATGTTTAGTACTATAATCAATATAGGTGAGGAAAGGTTCAAGACCTTCTGGATCATATTTTTCTTAAATATGATTATATTTATTAATACAGTAATAAAGTATAACACAATCTTTACAACATCACCAAAATTGCAAATTTTTAACTAGATTGACCAAGAAGAAGAAAAAAAAAAGACTCAAATTATTAAAGGCAGGAATGGAAGAGGTGACGTTAGTACTGGACCTTATAGAAACAAGAAAGCATGGTAAGAGTATAATATGAACATCTATACAAGAGTAAATTACACAACCTAAATGAAACAGAAAATTCCTAGAAAGGCACAAATTCCTAAAATTGACTCAAGAAGAAATACAAAAACCTCAACAGACTTATAACAAGTGAAAAGACTGAATTAGGAGTTTTTAAAAGGAAGCCACGTTGAGACTGGTAGGAGGGGCAGAGACCTGAAACAGACTGGTCCCACAACCATGTGTGGGAGTTAATAATATCCCTTTGGGAGGGATATCTCAGCCGTGAGGTCCCCAGTGAGGAGCAAGGGGGTCCTAGCCCCAAATCAGGCTGCCCAGCCCACAACATCTGGCTGTGAAAATACCAGACAGAGGGCTGCTTAGACCCCGGTGTCCTCTTAAAGGCCTAAGAACAGACCGACTCACAAACATTGCCCTCAGCCCCAGCGAAGGGACAACTGCTAGAAAAGCACCCAGGGCGTGGGAAAGAACTGCCTTGTCTAGCTTCAGGGTGAAGGGTAGGGGGGAGGTTGGAAGGAGTCAATGGGGGAAAAGGGGGACATATGTAATACTTTCAACAATAAAGAATTAAAAATAAAAAAGACCTACTTACCCTGTTTCCCCAAAAATAAGACGTGTCTTATATTAATTTTTGCTCCCAAAGATGCTTTATATTTCACTCAGAAGGAAACCTATAAGTAGGTCTTATTTTCGGAGGATGTTTTATTTTCGGAGGATGTTTTATTTTTGGGGAAACACGGTATGTATTAGCAAATCTTCCTAATACATAGAAACAAACATAGGGAAGCAGTCATAATGAAGAGACAAAGAAATATGTCCTATATGAAAGAACAGAACAAAACTCCAGAAAAATAACTGAACAAAATGAAGACAACCAATCTACCAGATGCAGAGTTCAAAACACTGGTTATAAGGATGCTCAATGATCTCAGTGAGAACTTCAACAACAAGGAACTACAAAAAGGGAGATAGACAACACTAAAAAAACAATGGTCAGAAATGAAGACAATAACTGACACGAAGAATACATTAGAAAGAACAACAGCAGATTAGATGAAGCAGAGTACCAAATCAGCAATTTGGAAGATAAGATAGTAGGAAACACCCAATCAGAACAGCAAAAAGAAAAATGAATTTTTAAAATGAGAATAGTGTAAGGGACTTCTGGTGCAACATCAAGTGTAACAATATTTCATCATAGGGATAGCAGAAGGAGAAGAAAGAGAACCAAGTATTGAAAACAAATGGCCAATAGACATACAAAAAAAAAAAAGAAAAAGTTCAACATCACTAATCATCAGAGAGATACAAATTAAAACTACAATGAGATTATCAGAAACTGACCATTGTCCCCACTAGCAGAAAGGTGTGGACAAGGAACCTGGAAGACTGAGCAACCTTGAAGCTCTGAAAGGTCAGAGCCAACCACTCCCTATCTAATTGAGACAATGATAGCTGAAGCAACTTCCACCTGTCAATCTTATTTAAATCCTTGCTGATTGGCTATTACTGGAATTGCCTGCCTGTATGGGTAGATGCCAAACCTTAATAAAAGGGGTAGCAAGGCCGGAGCAGGGGGTAATCCTCCCACTAGAGTTGGGCTCCCGCCTGGCCCCCAATATCACCAAATTAATACTTTTCTAGTCTCTTTCATTTGTGTGTGGTCTCCTCCACAACCCGAATCCAGAACCTGAACACTGACCCACTCGGGACGTGAAAGGGGTTCCTGCGTGAGGTATCACCTCACATCTGCCAGAGAGGCTGTCATCAGTAAATAAACAAATAACACCTGCTGGCCAGGATGTGGAGAAAAGGGAACCCCAGTGTACTATTGGTGGGAATGCAGACTGGTGCAGCCACTGTAGAAATCAAAATGGAGTTTCCTCAAAAAATTAAAAATGGAATACTAGTATATCCTAAGAATCCTGAAACACCAATCAGAAAGAATATACGTGTTCCTATGTTCATAGCAGAATTATTTACAACTAGAAGTCTGGCCTGTGGGATTGGGCGAAACCGGCTCTCTGACATCCCCCGAGGGGTAACAGATTGCAAGAGGGCAGAGGCCAGGCAAAAGGACCCCACCAGTGTATGATCAGGGCTGGGGAGGGACCTCAGGAGGGTTCCAGGGTGTGTCTGACCTGCCTCACTCAGTACCAATTGGCTGGACCCCAGTAGCTAACCTACCAGTTGGAGCGTCTGCCCCCTGGTGGTCAGTGCATGTTATAGCAAGCGGTTGAGCTGCCCTAGCATATCATTAGCATATTACACTTTGATGGGTTGAACAGCTGACTGGACAACCAGACACTTAGCATATTAGGCTTTTATTATTTAGGATAGTTAAGATCTGTAAACAGCCCATGTGTCCATTAGTAGATGAGTGGATAAAAAAAAATCTGTGGTACAGCCCAGCCAGTGTTGCTCAGTGGTTGAGCTTTGCCTATGAACAGGAGGTTATGGTTCACCTTTCTCACCATTTTGCAGATGGCGAAGTGGAGGCTCTGAGAGGTATTACCTCTTGCATGAGGTAACCCAGTGACCAGCTCCTCTTGGGACCACAGCTGGGACTGAGGAAGGGCTGGTGCCCACCAGGAGTTGTGCGAAGAAGAACTCTAAATGACAGAGAAGAAACCTAGGCCTGTCTTTTTCTAAGGCTCCTTAACTCAGAACCTTCCAGAAAAGCCATTGAGAAAGGCCTGTCATTTCCCAGACAGACCACAGTCTGCATGAGTGTGGGTCCCATACCAGAATTGGTGGCCAGTGGGTGGAGTGCAAGAGGAAGTGGGCACCAGAGAGAGGCCCAGAGTAGCTGTGGCCAGTGATTACAGGGCTGGGCCATCCCCACCCGGGCCCGCCACGCAGATCAGAGGAACCCAGGAGGGCAGGCTGGCCATGGAGGGGGGACAGATGGGTCTAGGGGCTCAGAGGGGAGTGCTTGAAGATCCTAGGGTCCAGCCCCCCACTCTGGACAGCTAGAGGCTGGCGGTGTAGCGTAGGGACTAACCTCAAACAGGACCACCCTGAGACCTCCCCCAACCTCCATTGCCATCACTTAACCCCCTCTCCTCATCCTCCCCTGCTTCCCCTGCCTATATATTTCCTCCCAGCCCTTCCACTGGGCTCCGTGTCCCAGGGCCCCTGCCCAGGGCTCTGTGGAGCAGACAGGCCAGGGAGAGCTAGGTAGGCAGGCCCTAGTTTTGTGGTCAGGGAGGCTCCTGGACCTAAGCCAAAGAACTCTGCCATCCAGAGCAACCACAGGCAAACCACACGGGGTTCTGCTTTGAAAAAAGGAAACAAAAATAGCAGGAGGCTATGGAGAGAGGAGAGAGAGAAGAAGCAGTGGGCAATTGGAGGGAGGAGAGAAAGAGGAACTAGGTGCCAAGGACAGAGATGGAGAGAGAAGGAACTACACACAACGACAGAGACAGAGACTGGGAGAAGTCCCGGAAATCCGGCGGGCACCATGCACTGTCCTCAGTGATTGGTGCACATGGATGCTTTCTCCTATTGGGGAGTAACTATTACTGTCCCCACCTGAGAGATGGGGAAATGGGATCAGAGAGGCAACGAAACAAGCCAAAGGCCTCACAGCAAGTAAGGGCCAGAAACAGTGTTTTACCCCAGGCCACAGCATATGTGTGACCTTAATGCAAGCCATGCCATCCTGCCCTCAGGCACCCACCCCACTCTGCACAAAACTCGATTCACAGCATCCACAGGCTGGCGGCCGAAATGCCACTCCAAGAAACCAGACAAACTGTCCGTGCACGCTCACGCCCGAGGAAAGCCTCAGTCCCCCGCTTTATGATGTGAGGGGGGTGGTGGGGAGACAAGTTATTGCATGGGGGACTTGAGGCTTCACCATTTTGGGGAAACAATGGAGATCCCCAGTCTGGTAAGCATGGATTATGACACAAGGTTTCTGGTTAATAAGTTCTAGCTGGGCTAGTGTCGCAAGACCAGATAAGCAGGAGTCGCAGGCCTGGCTGTTCCAGTCTGCCCTAGCTCATTCGCTCCTCCTGATGACTTAAGCCTTCTGGGTGACCCATGTGCCCTGGGTCAGGGACATTGCCTCCGGTGATCAGACTAAGCGATGAGCACGTGGATAAACCCTTCATAAGTATTGATAAAAAGCAATTCTGCCTTTTTTTTTTTTTTTTTTTTTTGAGAGAGAAATAGTGATCTCTCCACTTGAATTTAAAATTCAGACTCCACGCTGAACTCCACAAACCACGGTGGAATGGAAACTTATCTGATCAGATCATTCTTGAGTACCAGTCACATCAGTTCTGTCTCCAGAGCCATCAGGAAGCCCCCATCTCTGCTTCCTCCACAGGCGCAGCCCAGGGCAAGCCCCGTCCAGTCCAGTCTGCTCCAGAAAATCACCTGTCTCTTCCGCTGGCTTCCTGTTTCTTCTTGTTCCATCTTGGTGGGACCTACAAGGCTTCCCACGGCTAACGGTAGATGACAGCTCCTTCCCAAGGCCCTCAGGGCGCATCTTCCACCTTCCCAGCTCACTCCTCAGCGGCAGCCGTTCTGAACATCCTAGGTGCCTCCCCACCTCTGCTCTAACTTTTCCATCGGGCTGGGAAGCTCCTCTAAGGAAACAACATTTTAGGGAACATACTGCTTGTTGTTCAGATCTCAACTCAAATGTCTCATCCACATCAGGATATTTCAAAGTCAAAGTCTCTCCTTTTATTTCTTTTTAATTTTCACCTGAAGATATGTTTATTGATTTTGAGAGAGAGAGTGAGTGAGAGAGAGTGCCATGTAAGGAAGAAACATCCATCCCATATGAGCCCCAACTGGGGATCGAACCCGAAACCTAGGGATGTGCCCTGACCGGGAATCAAACCTGCAGCCATTTTGGTGTACAGGACTGCAGCTCCCTCCTGTGGCTTGGGGGGTGTCCAGCCACAGGGGCATGGTGGGAGTGGCAGGGTGATCGGGTGAGCGCCGAGAAGGCCTCTCCAAACCCTGGCCTCCAGTCCAGAGGCGGTCAGGGGAGTGTGAGGGTGTCAGGGAGTGGGAATAGGGGGGAAGAAGCCCCTCACCTCCGGAGGGGAGGAGCACGGTGCCAGGCCTAATCATGACAGTGCCATGGTAAGGAGGCCAGAGGCCAGGCACTTCCGTGTCCCCTCGTTCCCCGCGGCAGAAGCCGGAGAAGGAAGAACTTGGGCACTCCATTATAGATGGGAGCACTGGAGCCCGGAGAGGGGAGGGAATGGGTCCCCCAGCAGATAAGCTGTGGGTGACCTATCCTACACCAACCTAGACCCAGCCCTCCTCGCCATGGGTAAGTGCTGCCCACTGTCTCCTCAGCCTCATCTCTTAGGCCACCTAACCCCACTGCCCACTTACCACTCTGGGGTGTGGTCACCTACTCCCTGAGACCCTGTCTGAGAGGGACTCCAAGGATTTCACCGTCCCTGCCCCCCAAACACGCACACACACACACACACACACACACTCACACTCACATCAGGAAAGGCAAACAGAGCCAGAGGTCAGGAGAACAAGCCAATGGCCGGGCCCCTCAAGCCCAGGACAGACTGTGCAGCCAGCAAGTCAGCCATCCACACCCATCCCTCCACTCACTTCTCTGGCATCTCCCTCCCTGTGAATGGGGTGTGAATGGGGCGGTGAGAGGTTTGAGGAATTCCTACAGGTGAAGTCTGGCACATGCCAGCCTGGAGCAGGGATTCCACACTGGGGGGTCCCGACTGGCTGCCTCATTTCCACCAACCAGACCCTGAGGTAGATGCACAGGAGCCCCAAGTCCTGGTCAGTGTGAACTTCAGGTGCAGCAGGTCACCCCAAGCAGCACCCCGCCACCCGCACAGGGGAACCAGCGGGGGGGATGTAGGGGCATCAAACTCTCTCCCAGCCTGGCGCTAAGGGTGTGGGGTGAAGTAAAGGAAACTGCCTTCCCAGGTGGGCCAAGTCCACCCCCCGCCACTGACCCGGGTCCCCAGACACAGGCTGGCAGCCCTAACGGTCCCCATCCCGGACGTTTGGAGACCACTTCTCCAAGGGAGCAACGCCTTGCGGGGAGCTGGGGCACAGGCGGGGCATCGAGAGCCGTTCTAGCACCTATCCCCTAGCCCAGGAGCAGACAGCAGGTGCCCCCCGCCCAGCTGGCACTCACCCGGGAGTAGGGCGCGGGCCGCGGCGCCCAGGAGCAGGAGCAGGAGCAGGAGCGCGGCGCCCAGACACGCGGCTGCCAGCGCGCGCCTTCGCCAGCAGCGCCTCCCCATCCTGAGCCAGCGCTGGTGTCCCGCGGGGCGGCCACGCCGGCCCGGACCCGCCCCGCTGCCCGGCGGCCCGAACCAAAGCGCGGCACGGGGGTGCGAGGCTTCCTGCGGGGGCCACCGGGACGGGCTCTGGCCTGGAGGACTGCAGAGATGGGCGAGGGCAGGCTGGCCGGCCTTGTCCAGTCTCCATGCCCCCTTCCCCTCCACCCACTACCACCACATAAACACAGGATCGCTGTCCAGGGTGTGCAGGGTGGAGCCTGGGTGGAGGGAGACCTGTCGCCCCTTCTCTTTTTGCTGTAAAAGCCGGGGATGTCCCGATTCCCAGGATCAGGCCCGAGAGTGCCCCTTCCTCCCCCCCGGGGCACCTGTAGCCTGGTTTCCTCAGGTGTCTCCAGGTCCTACCTGAGTTCTGGCTCATGCAGGTCCCAGCTAGACTGAGGGAGGAGAGGTGAAGGTCTCGGTTCACATCCCCCAGGAGCGTGAGGACCGGAGCGAGCACTCAGAACTTGCCAAGGCCCAGCCGGTGAGGCTCAGTGGTTGAGCTTCCACCTGTGAAGCAGGAGGTCACGGTTCCATTCTGGTTCTGCCAGGTTTCCGGCTTGATCCCAGGTGGAGGGTGTGCAGGAGGCAGCTAATCAATGATTTTTTCTCATCACTGATGTTTCTATCTCTCTCTCTCCCGCTCCCTTCTTCTCAGAAATCAATACAAAAACAAACAAAAATTTGCTGAAGACTCCTGGGTGTGAGGGAATGGGAGGAAAGTCCAGCCTCGGAAAAGTAAACCAATCCAGCTAGCCCTGTGGAGTGAGGAGACCAGGACTGTCTTCTGGGTCTTGCTGCCCAGAGGGCAGGCTGGCAGGGGACCGGAGGAGGCAGCTGATGCTGTGTGCACTGGTGTGTTCACTTGAGCTAATACCTAGCAGTAAATGGGGGTAAGGGGTGTGTGTGTATAAGGGGGATTGCTACAGTAAACTCCAGTTGTTTAACAGCTCTTGAAAACTCTGGTGACTCTAAGCCTGCTGGTACCATTTATTGGCTGTGTGACATCAGGAAAGTCGCCCAACCTCTCTGTGTCCCATTCCCTGTCCAGTGGGATAGTACTAGGACACAGCTCTTGGTCCTTTGAGGACTAACTGAGATACAGGACATGTTTGAAACAGCATCTGGCACTCAGTGACTGCCATCTAAATACAATATCTCAGCCGAAACCGGTTTGGCTCAGTGGTAGAGCGTCGGTCTGCAGACTGAAGGGTCCCGGGTTCGATTCCGGTCAGGGGCATGTACATTGGTTGCGGGCACACCAATGTGCAAGAGGCAGCTGGTCGATGTTTCTCTCTCATTGACGTTTCTAGCTCTCTATCTCTCTCCCTTCCTCTCTGTAAAAAAATCAATAAAATATATTTAAAAATAATAACAAATAAATACAATATCTCAGTGATTATTAACTTTTAAAAAATATATAATTGTTTATTGATTTCAGAGAGAAAGGGAGATGGATAGAGAGATAGAAACATCAATGATGAGAGAATCATTGATTGGCTGCCTCCTGCACGCCCCCCAATGGGGATCGAGCTCACAACCCAGACATGTACCCCTGGCCAGAATCGAACCTGGGACCCTTCAGTCTGCAGGCCGACACTCTATTCACTGAGCCAAACCAGCGAGGGCAGTGATTATTAACGTTTATAGTACTGCCTGTTTCTGGCAAGTTACAGTGATGATATAAAAATTCCTTGGCTCATGACAACAACATAAAAAAGCCCTGGCCGGTATGGCTCATTGGCCTGCACACGGAAGGGTCTCAGGTTCGATTCCTGGTTAGGGGCGCATAACTGAGTTTCTGGTTTGCTCCCAAATATCCACGCCCCCCCCCCCCCCCCCAAAAAAAAGAAACTTTAAAAAATTTCTTCTTATTACATATATTTAAGTTTTAAAAGTCTATTTAAGGAAGTATATCAAGTAAATAATAGTTATTTTGGCTTAAAGATAGAGCTCCCAAGGATGATGATAGGTGTCAAATAGCAGAGGGGTCGGAAAACCAGCTCTCTGATAAACCAGAAGCTTTTTATTACGGCTTTCCAGACAACTTGGACAGAGAGCCTTGGGGAGCGTCTAACTCACCCCTGGGCTCGCCGGAAGTCAGGGCTGCTGCTACTCTGGACCCAGAGATTTGGGATTACCCACACCCCCAGCAGGCCCCAGATCTAATCTACACCTGTATTCCTGACCCTTCCCTGAGTCTGGCATTCTCTGTAAGGAGTCCCAGCCCCTGGACTCCTTAGGGCGAATCTTCGCCTCCTGAACTGCCACCTGGTGGCCAAAGCTGAGAACAACATCTCAGCCCATCTCTTGTCCAGAAAAATCTGTGCAAGCACGTGGCAGAGTCCCAATGTTAGGTCTTGCGGTGGGAGGGTGAATGTGCCCTCAGCGGCTTGCCTGGGAAAGCGCCATCTGCAGCTTCTGTCCTCTCACAGGGGTTCATATTCATTCTCTCTCTCTCTCTCTCTCTCTCTCTCTCTCTCTCTCTCTCTCTCTCTCTCTCTCTTTCTTTCTTTCTTCCTCTCATTCACTCACTCACTCACTCATTCAACAGATACTGAATGCCAACTCTATGCTAAGGCACCAGTGGCAAGAGCCAGGCAGATACATCCTCTGACCTCGTGGCGTTTTCAATAGAGATGGGGGAGAGCATAGAAATAGGAGCAAACATCTAAATTATGGCTGGTGATAAGTGGTGCTGTGAAGAACAAACGCGGAATAAAGGGATGGGACGTGTGTACCACAGGGTGAGAGTGGCAGGCCTCAGGGCGACATGACATTGAGCAGAGAGGTGAACCTGTGAACCGGGTGAGGCTGACGGCACGGTGGTATGGCGGCACGGTGGAGAAGCTTTCCATAGAGAGTAGGGGATCCTGATGAGTGATGCAGCTGCTGTTGCTATGTAACAAACTGCCCTAAAACTTAGCAGCTTAGCCAAAACATTTACATTTTGCTCACAATTTTGTGGATCAGGAATTGGGGGAGGGGTGCTTCCCACTAGGGGTCTCCTGCTCATCTGCAGGCCGCTGGGCCTGGTGATCTGAGGCTGGCCCCCAGGCTTTCCCTGAGAGCTCCCTGTCCCATGGTGGGCCGTGGACCTGAGTGCCTGGGGTCCTGAGTGAGTGCCTGGGGTTGGCGTGCAGTGCCCTCCTGCCTCTCTTTACTGCTTACCAGTTTTAAGGTTTTATGTATTTGGTTTATCCAAGGATTAAACTTTAAGAACATCAGAGGTTTGTTGTTGTTGTTTAATTGTGGGGCTTTTCACATAACAAATCAATTTAAAGTGTGCAAATTCAGTGGCATTCAGTACATTGACCATGTTGGACAACACCCAAGAGTCTTTTTCTCCCATCTCTCTCCACTTCCTGTGTATCCCTCAGAGATTTTAATGTCCTTAATTTTTTCCCCCCGTTGCATTTAGTACTGCATACATTACTGTGCTTCTTGCTTTTTGGATAGTGACAACACTGAGAAAAAGAACAATATTTTCTTCTTATCTGGTGCTCATCCTGTGCCAGGCAGTAGTCTAAGATCTTCGCATGTATTATCTCACTTGATCCTCAGATGCACCTCATGACGCAGTAACTGTTGCTGCTTTTGGTTTACAGATGAGGAATCCGAGGCACAGAGAGGCTAAGTAACTTACCCAAGTACAGACAAACTGGTCAGTGGGGTAGCCAGGGTTTGAACTTACTTGTTGGCCATATTTAGCATCTGTGAGATCCTCATTCTTTTAAATAGCGTGTACAATCTTTTTAAAAAAATTAAATTCTTTATTTGGGAGCACATAGATTAACATGCAGTTGTTAGAAAGAAAACGAAGATCCCAGGTGCCCTGTTTCCCCAGTGATAACCTCTTGCAGACCATATAGTGTACAGTGTCACAACCAGGTCATGGCATTGATAGAATCCACTCATTCCATACAATGCTTAATTTTTTTAAAATTGGTTGCAAACATTTAAAAGTCAGGAGATTTCACAAAAATGGTTAGATTTTTTGCTTCTCTTGAGCCAGCTAAAGAAGCCTCTTCCAGAAGCAACTCCTGAGGGGAGGTTTCAATACCGCTAGTTTGTCTGGTCAGGGAATAGGGTATGGGGTGTGGGGTGTGGCAAGTGGGGAGAGGGGAGTGGGTGTTCGATGTGGAGAGGGGGATGTGGGGAGTGGGGTGTGGGAAGTGGAGAGAGGGGAGTGTAGAGTGGGGAGTGGGATGTGGGGAGAGGGGAGTAGGGCGTGGGGTGGGGAAGGGAAAGCCACCACCCAACGGTGTGGTACTGGGAGCGAGGAGGGGGCAACTCAGCCCAGTCCTGCTGCGAGTGCAGAACACTCTCCATTTACACACCCGGGGAGAGCCGAGGGAGCTGGGGTATTTATCCAGTAATGTTCCCTCTCTCCTGCTGCTGTCCTAGCCCTTCCAGCCCACCCCGGAGCTAGATGACCATGCCCTAAGCCACCAGAAGCAGCCCTCTAGCAGAGAGAGACAGCTGCTGGCCGCTGGCTGTCACGTTGGGCACACGCATGCCCCGAGGGGTGGGTGGGGGGCAGTGTCCACAAAAGAGCTGCTGCTTCCAGGACAGCTCCAGTGCCTGGCACAGGGAGGCGCTCAGTCCGTCCTGCTCGAAAGATAGAGTGAATGGATGAACGCTGGGAAGCAAACAAGAGCGCATGTCTGCTTGCTGGCTCTTCCAAGCAGCCTGTCTGCTGGTGAGGATCCAGCAACAGCCTGCTCGCTGTGCCAGCCGGAGCGGAGCAGCTGCGAAATGGGAGGCAGCCAGACCTGTGAGTTCCAAGGGTTTAAATCCTAGCTCCACCCGTGACCAGTTGGGTGGC